GGGGGGGGGATGAGAAAGTTTTAACAGAAAAATATACGAGAAATTTAACTTTCAGAGCTGTACATAGGCCGGGGCGTGTAGAAAATCCCGTTTTTACCAATACCGGAACCACTGGATGTTATTTTAAATAAAGCGCGTGAGAAGCCGAGGCCGCCTCGTCCCTCCTGGGGAGGGGGGGGGGCTTGGGGAGGGGCTGGAGGTGGGGGGACAGCCGGGGGACAGCCCTGACAGCGGAGGCAGCCAAGGGCAGGTGAGTCCTGTCTGTGTGTCCCCCCCTCACACCCCCCTCCGTGTCCCCCTGTCCCACTGTCTCAGGGTGGCCTCTGCCCCCCCCCCCAGGTTGGGGTCCCCACCGTGTCCCCCCTGCCACAGCCACGGGCCCCCAGTCAGTGCCCCTGCTCCGGGGGACCCTGAGGTGTGTCCCTGCCCCCCTGGCACCCCCCTATCCTGCTCCTCTTTACGGAGGGACCCCCCATCTCCTGCCCGCCCTGCCTCTGGGGGATTGTGATGTGTGTCCCGGGGACCCCCACATGTGTCTGTGTCCCCCCCCAAAAATCTCCTCCGTGACCTGGCAGGAGGGGATGTTGCCAGTCCGACTCCCAAAAATTGAATACGGACGAAGATTCCTCCCAGGCTGCCTGTTCGGTGCAGTTGGTGGGTCACCACGGGCAGCAAGAGCTTTCTGGCCTGGCACCTTTTGTCTGGGAGGAATCATCAGTTCACTTTTCACACTGAACTTGACAGTTTGACTCTCAGAATTGAATATGGACGAAGATTCCTCCCAGACAAAAGGTGCCACCTCAGAAAGCTCTTGCTGCCCATGGAGCGCTCAGGCTGGCCCACCAACCGCCCCTGAAACCCAAAGGTCACGGGCTTTCTTTCCGGGGGGAAAGGGCCTCGTTCGTTTACAGGAGGCCTGCGCTGGAACTGCCAGGAGCCGGGCGGAAGGAAGGCAAGAAGCCGGGCGGAAGTGGGGCAGGAAGAGGGCGGAAGTGGGGCGAG